TTATTATTAGAGAACTGAGGAGGATATAAAATCCCAGGAAATCCCATGTCCTGCTTCCTGGGGTCAAAACTTCCCCACCTTCTACCCCCATTCTCTCCCCAGTGGTTCCTCAGCAGAACACATGAATCTGATATAGCCCGTGTTGCGCCCAGGCCAACTGTCCTCAGCAAGAATGGGCTGGCCATAGCCAAAGCCCCCTGCTACCTTGGCATCTTGAAGGCTGAAATCAAAGACAAATAAATGTGCATTTTTCCAAAACTGAAGCCATTTATTTCTTGTTGCCCCAAGGAGAGGACAGGAATAAAGGATTTGAGACTGCAATTAATCAGGCAAATGCAGGTTAGTGCAACCCGAAAAGGGAGTCCCAGTCAAAAGCTGCCAGGCTCTCCCCTATTAATATCCATGTCCTGCCTGGTCAAAAATACCCTGAAGGCAACTTCACAGATCTTTGGTTAAGGTTAAGAGCTGAGCTTGGGGTAGCTAGATCGCTCTGAGTACTGCTTGCTTTGCACTTTTTTTTGAAGCTGTGACAGAGAAGCAAGATGTAGGGAAGCTTCCACCAGACAGTGGGGGTCTGGAAGCATTCAGAAAAGCCTCAGGGCAGGGCCTCTGAGCAGCAGACTCACCACAGTCATGGTGGAAGCAGCTGTGGCCTATGCTAATTTGTTTAGGAGCTCACAGCCTTTCTCCTCTACGAGCTAAGAGTCAGAACACAGTGATGGGGAGAAATGTGTGTACACTGCTTGCTTATAGAGAGAGAAGTGAGTGTGTATTCATTCTGGCTGCTAATTCTGTAGCAACATTTAACACATTTATAGGAAAAAGTGGAGTGGCTCATGTTGGGTATAGATTTCAGTACACGAATGAGCTTCGCTGGTGGGCTAGTAATGCCCTAGACAGGCACTGTGGCTCATCTGGGGACAGTTATCCCAGGGGAAGAAATCAATGGCCACTGGTGGGGTCAAGGGGAAGAAGAACAGTTCCACCCTCACTTCCTGCTTTGCACATTTCTAACCTGAGAGGGAGGCAACGCCTTGTTCCTTTCCACTTCACAGATGTGGCTGGCCGTATTCAGAAACTCATCTCAGTATTCGTTCTGTTCTCTCTGGACTCCACTTTTGCCACTCTTGCTCAAAAGCAACAAGGAGAAGTGAGAAAATCAAAGACATCAGGTCAGCCCCAGGGCGTCCTCTATGGGCACTCAGGCCTCCCCACACTCCGGCTAAAAGAGAGTGAGACAATGGACAGATGGTCTTCTCCTCCAAGGTTTGATGGTCAGGGATATAAACAGAAAACTCAAAAAATAAAAGACAATGCTTGGGGGGTTTTCTGATGCCACAGAGGATGAAAAACTCCTTAGAATCACTTCCAATAGTCACAACTAAAGCCTAATGACTGGAATGAGTTTGAACCAGGAAGGAGGTGAAGCAGAGTGGGTGAGAAGTCGGGTCGAGCATGATGCCCACTTCCGGGTAATCAAGAAATGACCACATTACAAAAGGCAGCTTTGGAGGGTTTCTGGAAGGTATGTTAAGTCCAAGGGAAATAGGTGGATAAGACACTGTGAGTGCAGAGAGGCAGATGACAGTAAATGGCTCACACACCCAATCCCAAGTCTCCACCCAGGGTTCTGTGTTGTTTTCTTCCAGATTAAGAAATGATGTCACTGACCTGACAGATTAGAAAGCACCTCCAGACTTAAGCCACCTGCTCTTCTGTTAAATTTTGATTTTAATCTCTTAAGAGTTCATTACATACCCTCTTACCAGAAAGAAAGCCTGGGCCGTCCACATTTGTACAACAATTTCTTGGAGAATCAGACCATGGAGCAGCATGCACTTGTACATTGAGGGCATGTATGTAAGTGCTTTCCTGGCAACCAATGGCCCAGGCACACAGCTAGCTTGTTCACTCTCAATTGCCTTGTATATAACTTGTTATCCTTAACTCAGAGTGTGAACTCAGCACTGCATTGAGCTACAGAGGAGTAACTGCATGAGGACTTATTTCTCTTAAGAAGAGTAAGTCACTTTTAAAATATGACGACTTTATAACAAAAAAAAAGTGAACTGGCTTCTGAGAAAGAATAAAAATTAAAGAAAAGAGAAAACAAGGCCAAGCGCGGTGGCTCAAGCCTGTAATCCCAGCACTTTGGGAGGCTGAGGCGGGTGGATCACGAGATCAAGAGATCGAGACCATCCTGGTCAACATGGTGAAAACCCGTCTCTACTAAAAAAATTAGCTGGGCATGGTGGCACATGCCTGTAATCCCAGCTACTCAGGAGGCTGAGGCAGGAGAATTGCCTGAACCCAGGAGGCGGAGGTTGCAGTGAGCCAAGATTGTGCCATTGCACTCCAACCTGGGTAACGAGAGAAACTCCATCTCAAAAAAAAAAAAAGAGAAAAGAAAAGAGAAAACAACATAGCATGCCCGGAAGAAAGCATAAAGGGTAAGAAAATTTCCCAGAACGGCCTTGTGCTGATGGCCCTATGTCGGAACCCTGCTCTCACTGAAGAGCTGTCAGTCTCAAAGGAGCCCCAAGGCCACTCCCAGATGCAGGAGACACAGGTGAGGAGTTGGCACTAGGAACAGGAGACCAAGTCCTCCAGGTTGCCACCCCATCCCCTGAAACCTGTTCTTTTCAAACCAGCCTTGCGATCTATTTCTCCCCTTTGAGCAGTCACAGGACGTTAGAGAAAACAATTATAAAAAGTAAATGGCAAATATAAGCACAAAATCCCAGCTTGCACAGACTATTTAAATTCAAGGCACTGTTAAGATGATATATAAACACAACAGCACTGAGGCATGCTATTTTATGTAGCAGTAGTATTGAAATCACAAAATTTTTACATGCTATTGACAAGTCTGCATGTTCATCTTCCTAAATCAGAACCTCAGTAAAATTAGATCCTTCTACAGGTGGATTAAGGGAATTGGGTCAGACGCTGCAGCTTGGGTTTCCCCAGGTCTTACTTGGAAGGTAATACTGAAAGGTCAGTACTCTGAGAAATCCAATTACCTTAAAATACTCAAAGTAGGAAGAACGCCACAGAATTAATGATTGACAATGAGGCTGGAAGTTCCCAGAGAGCAACTACAAGGGCTGAGCACAGAGCAGGCATTCCATGGATCAGAAGAGACGAGGCCTGCCCAGGGTCACACAGCTGAAGTCCTGGGGAGGCTGCCTCTTCCCAGTCCTCTGTCAGTGATTCTCTCCTGTGTTCTCCTTATCCGAAAGGAGGTTTGCCTTTATACTCTGCCCCTTCCTCACTTCTTGGTTGCATTCCTGTTCCCTAAAGGTGCCTCCCTCACTTCCCATATTCTACACCTGTTTAAATGATCCAGTTCAAATCTTAGCTCCCACATAAAGCTTTCCTGACTGTGCAAGCGTGTCCTCTCCAGCCTTGACTCTTGTACAGCATGAAGCATCCAAATTCTCAAATAGACCCTTCCATGATTTCTTCTGATGCCTCTAATGTTACTTATCTCATGCATGAGGCAACTCTTCAGCATGTTCCTGAGGCCTTTGTGCTGTCAGAAATCACAAAGACTGCCTTCTTTCTCCATAGCATGCAACACAGTTCAGTTGGAAACCCAGGGATGGGCAATAAGGGATGAGCAACAGCGTCAGAGATGTAATCAGGAGAGCCTGTCTGCGTGGGGAAGTGGCTGCTTCCAGATGGCACTGGCCTTTATTCCAGTCTCAACCTAAGGTGAGTCCCAGCTGAGTTCCAACCTGCTAAGCAGTTGTTCGCACTAGACTGTCGCTGTTCTTATGATGCTTTGCTTCTTTAGGTCTGAATTTCTATTTTAAGATGCCATGACTTCTATAATTTAAAGATCCAGGAGGATTTAGTCTATTATTAGCTTAAAGAGGACACGACATTGGTCAGAAAAGAAGCACAAGGTGGGTTGCAACCCAGTTCGTGTTAACTTCAATTTTAGAAGGATTTGGAAAGAACCTCAGGGAGACTGTGCCTCAAAACCTCATTTGAAGCTATAGAAATGAAAGACCACAGAGGAGCTGTGATCTGTGGAGACTCACTCAGCTGACTGGTCACAGCACTGACAAAAAAAAAAATCAGTCTCCTGACGGCTAGGCAAGTATACCTTCACCACGCCATGAAGGCTCTCCCTGCCAAAAATACACCGTTACACGTAACAGTCCTTTCAATCAGGCTGGAATTCTGAAAGGAAGAGAAACCTCAGAAATGACCACATACAACACAAATCTGCATAGCACTGGGCAAAATTATGGTATTAAAATAGCCATCTTGATTGTTACAGTCAATGAGGCCGAATGGCAGATTGAAATAAAACAATACTGAGATACAGAACTCGAATCTAAGTTCCATTTCTCACAATAAAATCACGTTGGGCAGGTCATTTTCCTTTCTACGCATTTCTTTTTTTTTTTTTTTTTTTTTGAGACAGAGTCTCGCTCTGTTGCCCAGGCTGGAGTGGTGCAACTCGATCTAGGTTCACTGCAACCTCTGCCTCCCACGTTCAAGCAATTCTCCTGCCTCAGCCTTCCAAGTAGCTGGAACTACAGGTGCATGCCACCACGCCTGGCTAATTTTTGTAGTTTTAGTAGAGACAGGGTTTCATCATGTTGGTCAGTTGACCTCGATCTCCTGACCTTGTGATCCACCCGCCTCGGCCTCCCAAAGTGCTGGGATTACAGGTGTGAGCCACCGTGCCCAGTCTACATCTCACTTTCTCAGGTGTAAAAATGGATGATCACAGTGTTTCTCAGTGGGGGAGTTCCTGGTGTCTGGACAGGTCCAGTCTTGCTTGGGGACTGTTCCCCTACATTATGGAACACTAAGCACCCCTGGCCTCAGGTCCCATCATTGTGTCAATTAAAAATGGCCCCCGCACATTTTAAACTGCCCTAAGTTTAGAACCACAGGAAGGTCTCCAAGGCCTCCACTGGCTATAAAGTGCCAGCAGGAAGCCACTCCCAGGTGTAGAGTGAGACAGGTGGCAGGCCTACCCGTAGATGTCCAGGACCCCGATGAAGGAGTGCTGCTTGAGGGAAGTGTGCAGGGCCTTGTTGATGTGCTCCACGATCCAGCTGAACAGCTGGGCATAGATGTGCTTGGCCAGGGCGTTGCGTGCATTGATCACCTGCTGCAGGGACATGGTCTTGACATAGGTCTCCGAGGTGGTGACCAGCTTGCGATGACACAGCCAGTGCTCCATCTGACTGTGCTCCACCCCTAGCAGTCGGCAGAAGTTGCTTAGGTGTTCATCCTGGGGCTAAGAGAGATGGGGGAGATAGGTTCAGGAGGAGTGTGGGGGACAAGCCACCCCCCCCACCAATGTCATCCACCCTCCCACCCAGAGGTAAAACAAGCCAAACCCAAGGCCTCCCAGTCCTCCAGAATCCCAGCACATCCTCTGCTGCCAGCCCAGCAGGCAGTCAGTCTCCATCTCTCTCTCTCTCTCTCTCTCTCTCTCTGTGCTAAGTGGAGATTAAAGAGCCCATAACAGAACAATGCTCAAACTGGTCATCACACCTGCTAATGATCAAATTGCAGAACTTTAAAAACCAAAACATTCTCCATCTTTTTTGTCCCCTCTATGCCAGGCTGCTGCTGAGAAACTGATAAGAGGCAAGTCCCTGAGTGAAGGGAGCAGAATGAGAATCAAGAACTTATGACCATGTAATTCATTCAGAGTAATGAGCAGATTCACACCAAATTCAGTCTGCATCTGCTGAGGTCTGCATGCAGTACTTGACCCACAGCCCAGGAAGCAATTCTCTTCCTCCCTCTTAGAATTCTTCACTTATAGGCATTGCCTTCGACCCACCCCATCTAACCAGCTGTATGCTCAGAAACAACCCCCAGGCTCCTAAGGTACAGGGGCCCTACAAAGGCACTAGCCATGTCCCTCCCTTAGAAGTCAGTTCCCCACTTTGTAAAGTAACAGGATGGGCCAGATCAATGATTCTCTTCCGGGTGGCTGGCTTAAGTGAGAATCACCTTGAGAGGTTTTTGAAATTGTATGTGTTACCAGCAAGTGGTTCAGATGTGCTGGGTGAGAGACAGGTTGAAATGCAATGGACAATGTCGCCCCCAGCACTGACCCTACACTCTCCTGTGCTTCCAAGCAGACTTGCTTTCTTCTTAGCCTCAGTGATGCTAAAATCATAGAAACTGAACTATCCTCCCTCAGTAGAAAGTGTTTTAAGAATGTAAGCAAAGTTTATCAGTTTGGAAAGCTAAGATAACATGGCAAAAACATGGACCACATCTTGACCTGGGAGGATCATTTGGAACACTCCCACTGATAATATCACACATGCTCAGAGCTGGAAAGAAACTGAAACTCCTCCAGTGTGAGGCACTTTTCATACAGGTAAGAAGCTGAGCTGAGTCCCAGAGAGGTACAACTACTCACCCAGGCCCCCGCCCTATCCCCAGCACAGGGGTTCTTCCACTGTCCTACCCGATGTATCTTCTACCTACTCAGCTGCCTCTAGGGACTATGTGTGAGTCTTGACCCTCATTTACCCAAATACCAATCACCTCACCTGGTGTTTGAGTCACTGGAGAGCCACATTTCCCACAGGGTCTTATTTCACCAAAATATATCAATTCCTCAGAAAATCCTTGCAGCCCACTCAGGGTACCCTGAGACAGCCTGCTCATCCTTGGAGGCTCCTCTTACCTGCTATTCATTCCCTCATCTGAATCCACCTGGGAAAGCTGATAGCACAGCCTCAAGCCTGCTGGAGAGCTTATTAACACTGTGGCTGAAAGGGAATCCTTCAGAACATGATGTGCCACCTCCTAATCGCCCTAAATTGCTTGTGGGACTCATTTTCTGATGAGGCTGCCTTGTAGGATTTAAATGAGGGCTTAATGAAAATTAACACAGATAACTGTATCATTTCTCCCTTAACACCATGTCCCCAGGCCATTTTTTCCTCTTACGGATATTTAAAATCCATCTGCCCAAAACAGAGTTATAAAATAATAGAATGCCAGAGTAGGAAAGAACCATCCAACACCACCAAGGCCAGTGTTTTTCCAATGCAAAGAACATTACTTGGCTTACTTAACAGAAGGAGAGGATAGCACCAGGTTAAACATAGCTGAACTGGTTTAATACACCACATAGCGCCAAGAGATAGATGTTTTAAGAAGCATTTCTGGAATGTATTTGATCAAAGAATGATTATGCTCTTAAGAAAATGCATTCTAATCCAAAGTTCCTTATTATTCAGATAAAGCTGAGTGAGGCCTCCTGCCTTCTGGTCCAGAGCTCCTAAGTCCAGCCTGGCAGGAGAATCAGCTTGGTTTGGGCTGGGTGGGTGTGGAGAAGCCCCTGTCTTTTTACGCTCAACAGAGAGTTTCCATGGCTACTTCTCCTGGCCAAGATCCTTTTTCTCTGCAGCCAACCCACCTCCCCCTCCCCTAAACATAAAGCCATATGTGGTAAAGTGCCTGGGGACCGCTTGGCAGGCGACAAGTTCAGAGGTGGCAAGCATCCAATTTGTTCATCTGACTTATTTCCAAGAAATTCTTAATTGCTAGGCACGGCACTGCAGATGGATTCCCTGAGGTTTAAGTGGCCTGCCAGCAGCTACCATGACTGCCCAAGACATGCCCATGGGCACCCTCCCCTCCTTGAGGCCTCCCACTGTGAGTGCAGTAGAGAAAGCGCACATGAGAGACTTGTCTGATAACCATCCTGGGGACGGCCTTTTATCCACCACAGTGGGGTGGGGCTTGATCTTCTCACGCTCTTCAGACTGTTGATTGAAGACACTCACTGAAACTGATATAGTGTTGTGCAATTACATTTAGGTACAATTAAATGATGCTAAATCCATTAAAAATAGCCAACATCATAGGTAGCAGATTCGTTTCATGATCCCATATTGCTAAATTCAAGAAACACATTGCCTCTGGTGTCCATGCAACTGAATGCTGTTGCATCTCCAAGGCAACCCTGGCAGTCATGGAGCACATTCTCATGCGTTAATTAAAAAAAAAAAAAAAAAGCTACTGAGCAGAAGGCACACTGCTTATGGAAAGGCAGCCTTTCCAACAGGAGGCCCATCCTATGAGCCCACAGAATAAACCACAATCAGAGGGACTCTCAGTAGTAACTATTTAACAATGCATTTCTCAAGCATACACTCTGTGCCCGGCACTGTGCAGGCATCAATGGGGCCCACCAGGCAAGCAGAGGGCAGTCTCCTCCCCAAGTACTTGCAGTCCAGCCAAGGAAGCTAGGCTGGCAGGAGTGAAGGGGACTGAATGCTGCCTGGGCCTTTCCCACCTTTGCTATGGTCATTCTGACCTCAGAGAAAGAGACTCCTCTCTCTGGGCCTATTTTTTCTTCCCCTCTACAGCAAGAGGGATGTTCCTGAGGTCCACTCTGGCTATAACAAGGTTGACACTAGACAAAGACTCTCTCACCATGGGCTCTGTGCTAAAACCTTTCCATGCAGGGCTTTCTGGGATCGATCCTCACCCCAGCACTGAGGCACATGGTCACCCACACTCCACAGAAGAGGAAACAGAGAGGTTAGAACACTTGCCTTAAGTCATACATCCAGCAAGAAAAATCAGGATGTGAACTCAGAGTTCTCGCTGTCCACTAGTTCTCTGTACAGCTCTGATTGCAGAACAATCGCAGACCAGCCTAGACCATAAACCTGAACTCAAATACCTTCTGGGATTTCCTGCCACCTAGCAGAGAAAGGGCTGCTACATGAGGTAGCATCCAAACCTCAACCTCTTGGGCCTCTTGCCCCGCCTTTACCACCTGCATTCTCCATTTACGCCTCTCTAAGAAGGCCCTGATGTTCCCACCCTCATACTGTCTCCACATAAACTCAGTGGGGACAAGAGGGAGAACAGTGAGCTCAACAGATACAGTCCTAATAAACACTCACTTCCCTCCTCAGCTGAACGTCCTCGAGAGGCTGGATGTGGAGGGTCAACTATAAGATCAGAGACACTTCACTTACAGGCTCAAGCCTTAGTTTTGCAAAGGGGCACTGGCCTCATCCCCCCAGTGCAAGTAGGTGCCCAGGGACTCCCCAGCCCTGGTTCTCATGCTAACCACCAGCCTCACTAAGATCTCAGAGTTGCTCATTGACTCTTACTCTCCTGTATGCCCTCCATGAGGCCTGGAGAACCTCAATTATCCATCCATCTGCCTCTTGGGTGCCTGGTGGGTGCTGAGCATCATAGTAGATGCTGTGACAGAATAAAGAGCAAGAACTGTCCCTGCCCTCTCAGAGTTTGGAGTCTCACAAAGGAGACAGGTAGGCAGCAAATAATCACAACACACACACACACACACACACACACACACACACACACACACACAGACACACACATACACCTATGCTCAGCCCCACAGAGGAGGGGTACACAGTGCTTTAAGAACCCATGACAGAAGATGTGACCCTGTGAAAGGCCTGGGGAGGAGCAGGGTGTTGGGTGGGCTGGAGTTCCACAGACCACATGGCACATCTGTCACCTTTCCTGCATCTTACCACCCTCAGTCAAGCATTGGTCACTGCATGTATTCCCCATCTCACCTGTCCCTGACACAGAGTACAGCTGCCCTAAGGAACCAGAGATCATTGACTGAGCTGTGTGCATTGTGGGACACTGATGGTCTATGCCTTTCTCATCGGGAGAAAGACATCAGGACGATACATCACTGGCCCTAAAGACTCAGATTAGGGGAAGGGTCGGTCCTGCACTGGAGGCTCCTCCACCACCCCCTGGGCCACAAGTCCTCCTTTGCACATGCCAGTCCCTCTCATGGCATCACTGCTGCCAAGCCACTGAACCATGCCCCTTCCCCTAATGTGAGCACCCACACAGGTACAGAAGCAGCAGATGTCAGAAACAGCTCCAGGGCACCTAACACTATCAGCATCAACACTTCCTCCTTTCCCACTGGGCCCGGCAGGGGAGCTTCAAGGCTATCACGAGGCTGCAGAGTCCATGCCAGGGATGCAGCAGGCCAGACAGGCCCAGGGGCCCTCTCAAACCCTAATCATGTTCCATTTAGGGAAAATGTCCATGGAAGGATACACAATGAGCTCTACTGAATCCCAGCTACAGTTCAGGTCTTCCTCTCCCTGAAGACAGGGCCAGTTTGAACTTCTCATTAGCCCCAACTCTAGACAAACAGTAGGAGGTTAATTTATGTCCACTCAATTGAAAAAGCATCAGCTTGTGAGCAGCATGGACATGTGTCCTCAGGTAGTGTTGTCTTTTGTATTTTTCCAGTGTCTGGTTATTTAAATTCCAAGTCCCTGGGAGCAAGAATCATACTTTGTACCTCCCCAGGACCTAGCCATAAATGGGACAAGAGGTACAGAATAAACAGTTGCAGATTCACCGATTCAAGGTCAGAATACCAGCTTTAGCCTTTCCCAGTACTATTAAATTCCAGAGGGCACAGTAATTGCTGTGGGTGCCATTTCCCTGGTACTTACTCCATCACCCATTCACCCATTTAGACATTTATCTACCACATATCAGCACTACAGTGGACAGCAGGAAAACAGGCTTCATTATGAGGCTTCACGGAGCACTTGACAGCTTGTAGTACTTTCACATGGATGTCTCACTTAACATCCTGCCTTGTGCTGTCAGAATATTGGCAAGGGTTGCCACCTGCCTTGTCCACCCAATTAGATGGTAAGCCCCTTTGAGCTTTGGGCAACAATTACAGTGCCCAGTGCCCTTTCATCTCCTTGCAGAGAGGACCTCAGTCTGGCGCTCAGAAAGTACTCAATGGATTGACAACATGTAGAACCCTGTGTACTTCAGGGTACTTAGGAAATCAACCCAACAAAAAGAATTCATCAAATAGCCACTACATTCCCTGTCCTCAGCAAAAGAAATTTGATAGTAGCTGATTTTTAAAGGGTTGGCTCTTTTAAAAAATTATCAGCGAGTGAACAGAAACCATTACTGTTAAGAATAAATAACCTATGAGTGTTCCCTAACTGTAAAGACACATTTCAGTCATATCAAGCTGTAAGAACAGGGTAAACTGTGTACATTTCATCTCTGGTGTTGGCGTGCAACTTACTAGTATACTACAGGAATCACCATCACGCTCAGCCTGAATCTCCACACTTCCAAGGTGCAAGATAGAAGCAATGATCTTAAAAATGCTTATCTGATGGGACTCTCTCACTCCTGGAAAAAAAAATGAATGAATGACACTCAATATCCATGGTCGAATGGTAAGGACATTTTACCATTTTTAAGGACATTTTTTTTTTTCAAAATAACGTTTGATTTTCCTTTCTGGCCCGATGACTCCTAAAATGATCCAGGCTCCTCACCAAGTAATTACCACTCACAGTAACAGCTCAAAGGGCAAAGGGGCTCCTCAGACTAAAAGGAAAATATCCTCACTATGATTGTCCTGGCCAAACTAGATGGGTCATGCTGTCATTTTAACTTCTCAAAGAGCAAAGGAGAGGCAGCAATCCTGCAGGCTCATTTTGTACTTCATTTCAACCAAATGGATGTTTTTATGAGTTTAATAAGAATGGCCATTTATCTGCAATCACTTTTTTCCCCAACATAATATCCTGTAAGCATCTGTGACACACATCACCAGTGCCAATGAGGGAAGAAGAGGAGAAACTTCTCCTGGGATGGCTGTTCTGGGGCTGGATGGCCAGCTGGCCTCTGGCCATCTCCATATGAGAGCAGCGGTTTGCCACACTACATGCACTGTCATAGTCATAGGCGGGCACACCGACACCAGAATCACTGTGGCAGCAATAACCTGTTGTCAGATTTGTTATTTACCTATATGAAGCATCAAAGTCACGGATAATCCCTTCATTTGTGTTTAGCTTGCAAGTTATTGGCATTTTCACAAAATGATTCAGACTCATTTTAAAAAGACTACAGCATAATAGAATACCAGTAAACCTACCACTCAGGCTAAGTGGTAGGTTTACTCCCCATTCCTCTCAGCTGCAGTTTTTTTAGGCAACATTTATTCAGGCTTAAAAAAGTCAATAACACCTGTATAAAATGGGAGGCACAGATGTGTCATGCTAGGATTAAAAAACTTCCCTAGATAATCTACAAAGTGGATGACCCAGGCAAAATTAACTCTAGGCTTTCATGTTAGATGGTCACTACCATGTAAGCATCATAGATTTCATTTTTCATTTTTATTGTCTAAAGTTTCAAAACATACAAAAAATAACAAAGTAAAAAACACAACGGATCCCTGTTCCTGCTTCATCATTAGACCCCCGGGGCCTAGAACACTGCCTGGAACATAGCAGGTGCTCAGAGACATAAATGGTAGAATGACCAGATTGATGACTGCTACACAGACTGCAAGTACTTGCAGCTGTCTAGCACAACATATGCATTATTCAATTATGTGGTGTTATTAGCCTAGAAATCCCCCCAAAACACTAAAGAATTTAAGCATCCATCTTGGTTCAGCATAACTGAATAACACCTGGTGAAAGGAAGACAGGTTAAAGCCAGAGGCTGGTATTCCAGACAAGACAGGAAGCTAGAGATTTATGCACCCCTGTAGCGGGTAAGGCACTGGGCTTTTTTGTCTGAGCTTAGAGTATGTTGCTCTTAAGTCAAGTTCCATTAAAAGTACTAGACAGGAGGTGGGTGCTGGGACTATCACGGAACAAGAGGGATATATTCTCTAGGCAGTAGCTTTTCTACTTTACCTAGTTTTTTGAGACAGGCTGGAGTCCAGTGGCACAGTCACTGCAGCCTCAAACTCTTGGGCTCAAGCAATCCTCCCACCTCAGCTGCTGGAGTAGCTGCGACTGCAGGTGTGCACCAACATGGCTGGCTAATTTGTTTTAATTTTTTGTAGAGACAGGGTCTCCCATGTTGCCCAGAACTCCTGGGTTCAAGCAATCTTCCTGCTTTGGCCTCCCAAGGTACTGGAATTACAGGCATGAGTGACTGTGCCTAGCCTACTTTGTTTACCCATGAGAAGGAATGCTCTGTCAATTTCCAAAGACCTAACCACCCTGTCAGGATAGGAATTTAAGCGATAGATACAGAATGAATACTGAATCCTAACAACAGTTAGGATCCTCACACTATATGATGAGAAAATCCTTTCTTGCTGTGGGATTCTTTGAATAAGTGGTACCTCACACTATGGGAAGCAAAAAATCTAAACAAAAACACAAATCAATCAATCAAACCTAAGGAGTAAAACGGGGGTTGGCAAACAGCCTGTTTCCATAACTAAAGTTCTATTAGAACATAGTCATACCCACTCCCATACATTCTGTCTACTGCTACTTTCATAAAACAGCAGAGTTGAGTACTTTGCAAGAAACTCTTATGGCCCACAAAACCTAAAAAATTTCCTACCTTATCCTTTAAGTTTGCTAACCCCTGCAATTAAAAAAAGGGACATGTTTGTTAAAGAATAGAGAAGAAAGTCTTATGACAGTAATTAGTTTTACAGAAGCAATCTGCTTTGAGCATTTAAGTATCCAGCCTCCTTAGAGCCTTGGAGGAAGGAATCCTCTCCTTACATCAGCTTGTGCCCAGTGCCCACACCAGCACTACAAGAGCAGCTGCCAGAGGCCTTCTCCTTTCCCCCAACAAATTCAGAGTAGAATGTATCCTGCACACTGTCATGTCCTCTCCAAACCTGCCCCTCCAACGCTGGAGACTAAGATGGGCATGTATTGCAGGGGAACTCAGGGGTACCCGTTAACAACTTACCTCTCAGCTTCAAAGCCTCCCCTCTTTGCCCTGCTTTATTAAACTGGAGCTGGACCCTGCAAACATTTCTCCTTTGCCTGCTGGTAGAACATCAAGCTTGCTCAGTAGGGGACACTTCAGCGATTTGTAAGGCAACAGCGCAGGAAAGACAATTCCCTTCTGGTTCTGGTCCTCCACAGTTATCATGATTCATTAGGGAGTCCAGAAACTTCCAGATGAGCTTCAGCTCTGCCCTCAGGCCTGTCTCCCCAACAGCAGTGGCTTCTGAGCAGTCCTGCCCTCCCCCCACACCCTGGGGACTCTGCAGCCTGCTTGTATAAAACCAGCTCCAGCCTGCATCCTCTGGGCAAGTTTCTTCATCACATCCTCTTCGAAGAGAACTAAACCTCAGCTGGGGTGGAGGCCTCTCCTACTCAACAGTTCCTTTATTGGCTGTTTTTCCTCCCCTGCCTCAAGGGATAGCAGCTGTCCTTTTGCACCTGCTGCTTCTGGATCCTCTAAAGTCCTCGTTTATCCCTTTTGTAGTCAATCACCTGCTACTACTGTAGTTAACAATTGTTTATATTTTCTATTTTGAAATAACCAGTGTGGTTTGTGTCTCCTGATAGTTCATGGGTATGAAAGACAAATCCTATCTATGTACCAGTTTCCCAGAGAACTGACCGGCTCTGGAAGCGTGGCAAATAAGGGTCTGGTTGCCTCCCCATAGAGAGGTTAGGGTGTGTCCTGTTTGGCCATGTTTTATTTGGACATTGGATAGAACTTCCCTGACCTTCAAAGAACCTAACATGCTGCTCTGGGTAAGTCACATGGCTCAGAAGCCGAATGTTTTGTATCTTTCAGAGAAGGGGCTGGGGAAGACAGAAGTGCCATCCTGAGGCACTTGGGGTTTCAGGCTGACTTCTTCAGCTTTTCTTTTTCTGACTGCAGGTTCCAGGAATTTAACACTTCAAATTCCCAACTGAGAAAGGCTTACCTTCTGCCTTGCTGCTTTTCCCCAAAAAGTGGCAGGGGAGCAGGGCAACTCCAGTTCTACAGTCCCCACTTCTGCCCCTGAAGGACAGAGAACTTCTTGTTTGAAGGATTTCAATGCTAAAGCACTGTATGGAAACATCTCACAGAATTAACGCTGCATGTGTGATGCAGCTGCCAGACCTTCATAGCCTGCTTCCAACTCTGATTTGGTGTTGTGGTACCAGGTGCACTGAGTGGGCATAACGTGGTGTTTTCTGCTAGAGCACACTGAGCCCAGACCACAGCATGAGGAGATGTGGCTACACTTGCTTTGCCTCCATTGGTTCCAACAGCCTGCACGAGTGGAAAGGGATACTGCACAGGGCCTGGGAGAGAGAGACTCCCAAAACCTTATTTTTTATAAAGGCAACAAAGCCAGATTTTAAGTTCTAGAGACTGAGGGTTGGGATGGGTAAGAGAGTAAGATTACATTCACCAGGTGCAAAAGGGCATTCTGCATTAGCTCCTGCAGGTTGTTGGCAAGCACAGTGGGACATCACCTTGCATTCTACCCTCCAGCCCATCAGCTCTGGGGGCCTGCTTCCCCAGTTTAGAAGCTCTTACCTAGGAGTGTGAACGCTTGTCGAGTCTTCTCAAAATCCTCAGCATCGTCCACACCCTCGATGGAGGTGTCTCCTCCCTGTGATGTATAGAAAAAGTCCTCCGCGCTTGCTGTGGGGACGAGGAAGTAAGGCATGAGGCACAGGAGGATACTTCATCCCACAGATCATGACCCATGATGATTCTACTCCGTTAGCATGCTATCCCAGACCAGATTTTACACCCAGCTGGATGTGAAACTCTAAAATAGTCTATCCACAATAGCAAATGGGAGAGAAGACTGAATAGTACAAGAAAATTACATGACATTGACAGAAATGTCCTGCCGTATTTATGTAAAATTGGCAAGGGAAACATGTTAACACAAAAGGCATATATATCACAGTCTAATTTAATAGGATTCATCACAGATTTGTTGTTTTAAAAAGATCTGATATAAGTAAAATGTATCCCCACCCTAGAGCCAGACTTCCATGACTTAGATAATCTCTGTCTGACAAGCTCATGTGACAAATGAGGAACAGTGATGTGCCCAAGGAGAGAAGGCTTTTTTCTTGTTGTTGTTCATTTGTTTTACTAAGTCGGGCACACTTGAACTCTCTGGGCACATGCACAAATGCAGGTTGAGACCCTTACATGTTTGCTCTCATCCCCCAGCTTAATTCAGGACTCTGGTAACAGCCTAGGGGACAGCTGGGAAGGAGGGGCACAGGTAGTGTCTTAA